AAAAAAAAAAATCTAGCAAATATTGCTTAATAGAATGGTTATAACTAAGCATCATTCAGGTTAAAAAAAAAAAAAGATTAGTTGATAGCTTAAAATTATAAATTAGGAACTGCTCCTTCTGATCCATCATGCAACCCGGACACGAAAAATGAAACAAAATCCTAAATTGCGGTAGATAAGCTATATTACGCTAAACCCTTAACAAACAAGAACAAGAAAAACTAAACTTTGAGAAATCAAATGAATCGAAGAGGCAGTTATGGATCCAGAAAATGGATTATCACAGGGAAAGAAGTATCGTTAGGGCCTAGAGAAGTGTGTGTGATAGCAGAGAGCTCCTTGCAGGCATCAATGTTCTTCAGAATTGCCTCCTCAAGACCAGAAAGATGCTTGTGCCCTTCTGTCAGCATATCCTGAATCCCGTATGGCTGCATTGAGAACCCCATTTTTCCTGTTCCCTTCTTAATTTTTCTTCTCCTTCCTCTTCTTCTTCCTCGCAGAACCTAACCCCAATCGAGAAATGGAGGAAAACAGAGCAACTCTGAAGTGAAGTGTGCAACTGGCGTGACCCGGAATGCCCGAGAACCTTTTCCCAGAATGCCCGAGAACCTTTTCCCAGAATGAATAAAGAACTCAAAAGCTACGTTAGATTTACATTTCGGTCCATAGAATTTCGAACTTCAGAGATTAAAAAATCAGATAAATTTGTCCTTCCGAATTGCTACTCAAATTTATTTCATTATATTTTGTGCCAACTAGTGTTACAAAATTGTACTGCAATACAATTTCCTTTTTCTGGTATTGATTTGGTTGCTCATCATATATTTCAGAGGTCACGATGTTACATTGATGTTGTTGACATTAACATCTTCCCCACTCCAAGGAAGCTAATTCACTCACTTCAGGACCCTAATATTGTTGAGTCAGATTTCTCTGAAAAACAAACAAGGAGGTTCAGAAGTCCATCATCCGGAAGATTTCCATCCCGCCCATCCCCAAGGCAAAATGTTTTCCTACATGATCTGATGCATGAGGTTAATGGGAAGGAAAGTTTATGTAATGATGGTGAGCAATATGAAGGTGTCTCTGAATCTGTATCATCAACAGATGATGGTACTGCTGATGGTGATCTGCGAGAGTCTCATGAGGTAGTTCCCGTTGTTAAAACTAAAATTCTGAAGTCTAGCAACGAGATCAGCCATTGGAATAAAGGTTCTAAAATGCTTTTGATGCTCTTTTCCATTCTACTTGTAGTTTCTCATAGCACTGATATGCAGTGATGGTTGGGATGAAAGAGATCATCTTGTTCTAACACGAAACTCATTTTGTTAGTTTATTCATGGAGTTAATATAAGTTTTCCCCTACCTGTACATTGAATGATGGTATATACAATAGGGATAGCTCGTCCCTTCCTAAATCCCTTCTTATCCATTCCAGGAGTCAAACTTGATATCTCTAATATGAAAATATAAACTCTTAACTATTAGAATATCTCTTAAGAAAGCTTAATAGAAGTTATTGAAAAATGTTTTCTGCTAATGATATATTACAAAACGATATTGATTTTCCAACTTCTTCCCTAGAGAAATTGAAAGGAGGGAAAAAAAAAGGATTATCTATGTTGTTGTATTACATAATCACAAGTTATCATGCTGAATCACTTGTACAGCTCTCCAACTCTCACCCACCACAGGCAAGGCACCAGCATTGAAGTAGGGTAAGTGCAAATGAAATAGTCCTTTCCATACTTTTCAGACATGGAGCCAGAACTGAATAAGTATACATGTCCTCGAAACCAATTCTTATTACCCTGAAGAAGGGTTTTCAACCCAGAAAAAATAACATTCAAAAATCAAGTCCTCCCTTGACAGCTTAATATACAAGCTTTTAGGTTGAAATGGACTTGAATAACGTTCATTTACGTGACAAGAGTTTCATATTTTGAAGATGGGGTGTTACAAAATGACTTGTGTTTAGTCTCTGTTCTGGTGAAGCAGCATAACCCGGACTGAGCTTTTGCTTCAAGATGTTGAGAGGAACATCTTTCTGTTTCCATTTCCAGATAACACCATGTTTCTGTTCGCCATCGAAACCAAACCATCCTCCAGGTTGAGATTGCATTGCTTCAGATGGAGATAAGAGCTCAAAAGAAGATAGAGGAGGGTGTGTGCAGTACGAGCAGCCTCCAAGTCCTTGGACTGCTGTTCCTCCCCTTTTCTTGAACTTCACATTGCTAAATAGTGCACTAGTTATTGTCATATCTTTCCTGCCATTGTTTTTCACTATGACAGCTGTTGCCATGCTCAATGGATTGAGGGAAATGATATAATTTATACCTAGAGTTCCAACAGTCCAGCTCAGGCCAACCTGAAAGAA